AGGCCGCAGGCCACTTTCACCCTTTCATACATATATTCATGCAGCCCTTTATTCTATTCATTTAGGCATTTTTTAACAGAAATTATACACTCACATAATAGCTTTACACTGTTAACTGGAAGCTGCATGATGATGCACAATTAAACCTAAATCCTTTTCTATCACTTAGGACTCATGACTTTTTAAACACCGTGTCGCTGTCAAACCTCATTGAAAAGTAATAAATGCACTGTTTATTACTTCATCACGAGAGTGAAGTTGTGAGCTGTTTATATGTCGATTTCCAGCTTTTTTTTCCCCCACTGCAATTTTTCACATCATCAGATTCAATCATTAAAAATAGAGACACAAAATTCTTTATTATGATAAACATAATAAAACAACAGAAGTGAAGAATTGCATCCGACTATTGAATGTTGTTTACTTCAGAATAGGAATGTTATCACTTACTAATAGTCATCATGGAATAGTTAGGAAAAACGTGAAACGTTGTCAGTAAGTTGTCGGAAAAAATTTCAGACGGACATGAAATAAAGCAGATGGAATTTGTTATTAAAGGAGAGATGACATCACCTTATTATTCAATGCATTAGTCAGGGATTGGACTTTAACGCTCCTTAAAACTTATAGTGTCTATTAGAATTTGCATTGCTGCGAGATAGCCAAAACATGGTGTATCAGGATAAACAATACCATAAAGACAATATTTTTGACTTGATGGTTGTGAATAAAGTTGTTTCACTTGAAATATATTGAATGTCTTTTTATTCCACTGACCGAATTCGAACACAAGTTAGATGCTTAGTCTTCTTATTGCTATACTTTTGCTTGGGTTAAATCCTTTGCAGATCAATGTATTTCTCTGTCTAGACTTCAAACAATGGACCTAATCCCTACAGGGTGAGCTGTTAGTTTCAGTTGTGCAGCATAGTCTGATTGCTGATTGTTGCTTTGTCTCAGCTGGTAACACCAGTGGGCTCTCTGCGGGAGACATTTTGGCCCATTTCTCTTTCTGTTGATTCTGTGGTGGCTCTGGTTGAGCCCTACTATTAGAACAACCTGTCGAAATCGACGTATCTGTTGGACTCATGTTAACTGTATGGACATGAATTAAACAAAGTTCTCTTTGAAGGCCCTGTGGGACAGGAAAGACACAATTATTGGCAAGCAAGGAGTAGAGAGTTATTGGTCTGTGTAAATAGAGAAAAGACACACAGAGAAAAGAGAAATCCTTTCACATACACTAAAATATTGCAAAGGTAGATGCTTTTTCGGAAGGTACTAAGTGGTAATCCATTTTACTAGCTTGTTGCTGGTCTATCACAGTAGCTCATTTCCCAATGGACCTTCCTCACAGGAGAAATTTTTGATTTGTCAGAGTTGGGAAAGTACTCGGCCACTTAATCTTGGGTGCAATGTGAAAAAGGAAGACAAAACAGAACACTGAGAAAAGTCAAATGACACAGTTGTAACTAAAAGTGATCCAGTGGCCATTGATTGGAAGTATGTTTAGCCCTCTAGAAGAAGCAGCACAAGAAGAAGAAAACAACATTCAACTTTACTAAAAGGCTTTGTCCTAGTTTAAGTTATGCCATGGCTTCATATATTTGTCTAGCAAAGTTAAAACATGAATATATAAACTCTTGCCTGCAGTTGCAGTTGAGTATTTTTCATTTTTTGTGCTGCAGAACCTTCCTGGAGATGCTACTATTTTCACAGTCAACTGGCCTCATTAAATCCATTACACTTTTCTGATCTTCCACCACAAGCCACAGGGGCGAAAACTCTTCAATACAATAAGGAATTCTGCCAAAGCGCTGCCTCGCCATTAGCACTTTACTAAGGAATGTCACTCTGGATCAAAACACACTCGCAGCTGAAGCAGGCTCTCAGTATTCAGTAGGATGGAATACATAAAGAGGTAAGGGAAAAGCTTGCCACAAAAAGTGGAAACTATGTGGCACCAGATATTGCTTTTATTTATAATTTTTTTTAAGTGAAACAAAAGATGCTCTTCATATTTTGAAAATTTTGAAATTCCCTTATATCCTAGATTCATGATGCCATTGACTCAATTTTTATTAACTTCACTGTTGTGTCTTAGTACACCTCTCAAATGCATATGCCTTCTATTCTTTAAACCTTATCACTGGGATTTTGTTTGAAATTTGAGTCTGCCTTAATAGATTTTCATATTTCTTGCACAGTGGTTTCCTGCCATATGTCGTCGAAGCTCAAGAGCAACCATAATTTAATTCCAACCAAACACAGCGGCAGGTGATTTCAGTGATTGCACCCTACTCTCTGGTTGAAGGTGCTAATCAGTGTAATCAGCAGCTCCAGTGTTTGGTAGTAAAGAAATTCAGCAAAATGTTAGCCCTCTGTGAAACATCATTGGAGGCAATTACTGTAGATGAACATACCCAGTCAACACTGACATTGAGTTAAATTTGTAGTGCAACACATATGTGATCGTGATTCACACAGGTTTTGAAAATTATGCTATTATTTCATTGTTAGATAATGAAACAACGCAAAACAACATACATATACACTCATCAGAGATGTGAATATCATCGCAATGGGTTTTTAATGGTTTCTTTGAACTGTTCTTTTTCCTGGTTCAAATCTTTCAAATGTCATACATCTTTAACGGCAAAAAAAACAAAACCTGGAGTTTAAATTTTTTCTTAATTTTCTCTGTTCCATACAGGTCAAAAATATGTATATGTGACAACAAATATTTCATTAAATGTCTCTTAGCAAGTTGCATCTTGAGCACATACTATTGGTAGCCATCGAGAAACATGACACATTACATTGCAGTGTCAAACAACAGAAGACAATGTCCAAAAGTGAGAGAGAACTTTGGATCTTTGCAAGCATATGTGCAGATAGCATGGTAACGCCAAGCTAGCCAAGAATGAATGATGTTAAAGCTGAGTGAATGCCGACCCAAGCCCAGCAGCCAGACCCTGAACTTCAACAGGTAACAAAGGCAGTGACGATCAGTCAGGCTGCAGCCTATGTTTCTATCTGTTTATGTTTCTACTGTAGAATCAATGTGGAGATCGTTTTGAAGTTTCTGTGGTCAGGGTTGTTTTGTGTTGTTGACTTTGTGTTCATACCTAAAAACTACAAGAAAGCTTGTATGTGTGTCCTCATTAGGACAGACGTTTGTGTTGGCCTATGGGTCTGTAGCCTGAGGTTTATATTGTTAACAATAATTGTCAGGTTATTTTACAGAGAAATTAGAAGGTAATAAGATAAGATAACTCTTTACTGTCATTGCACAGTCATACCTAATACAATAGTACAACGAAATTAGAAATGTGTAATGCAATGAGTTGTGTAACAAATTACTCTCTCCAGCAATAATTAAGTAACGTACTCATTACTTTTAAAAAAGGCAACAAGCAATGTGTAATACATAACTTTTTTTGAGTAAAGACAGCAAAACTCTTCACAACAAAGAGTGGACATACTTTCAACATGCACAAACATTTGACCACAAAGCATGCAATTAATGTGCACAAATGTAATGTCTTTGATATGCTGCTTAGCGATGGTGGTGACTGAAGGGGGAGCCAATGAGAATCCAATGAGAAACAATAAGAGAATCAATAATGAATCAAATTGGTAAATTCTTTTAAATTTGCATCCTCATGCTATATGTAATAGTATTCTAGCATTTCTTATTTTACCATGAAACAATCTTTTGTTTCATTCTCTGTTCCCATCTGTTATCGCAGTTGCCATTGTGTCAGCCTGAGATACTCATCAGCCTTCTGGAAACTGACACTAAAGAAAAGCTCATATGATTAATATAACGCCTCCAGAGATGTAACTCAGTTTTATTCAATGTTGCAACACATATTCTGTTCTTTTAAATAGAGATTTTCTACTTCCATTCCAAATGCATGCTTTGCCTTATAGCTTATTGCAGGCATCAGAGGGCAACAAAGAAATAGACTTAAGATGAAATATCAAATAGACTCATTAGCATACAGATTATTGTTTGAACATCTAAGCATTTCAATGCCCAAAGTAAAATCACTGTTGTAATCCCTTTTAAAGAGGATTTATCTGAAGTCAAGAGCATAAAGATGAACCCCTCTGCTTTCACTTTTTAAACAAACTCTTGACCAGCCTTTCTATTTTGCTCTTACTTTGTTTAAGTACTTGTATTGTGCATAAAGCACACTGATACAATAATAGGTCTTAGAAGAATATGTACTTTCAGGTTTAAGCCTACACCAGTAGTTCTCAAACTTTTCACAGTGAGTACCACCTCATAAAATATATGGCTCTTAAAGTACCACCCTTATGACTGACATCAAAGTACAGTAATATAGGGCTATTTAACACCATATACAGTTTACAAGAGACAATTTCATTTCTTGTATGAATGTTATTTATTTTAACTCATAAACAGGATGTAACAAGTGATAATAATAACAACTTTACTGCATTAAATCATTCTTTTATTGAGTGGTAAAACGTTAGCGTTCATCCTCCAGCTTCACTGTGTTTATGCAGCCCGTTCTCACTCCCGAGGCGTAACATGTCGACGTTTTGTCACGTCCCGCAGCGTTCCTGAGGAACGCGAAAGGAGACCTTCGGCGTTCTTATGGTACGCGGCGGGTTATGGCTGGAATCCAGTGCAATGACGCTCCCGCGGTAATAGATGTTCCAGCCCTGTATTCCAGCCCTAAACCTAACCTTATCCCTAGCCCTAACCATAACCTTATTCCTGATATTAACCAGGACTATAATGATGTTAAATAGCGTGTTTCTAAGCAATTTGAAGAAAAAGAGCGAACATGTGTAGATGGAGTCCAGACGGTTCTCATATTTCCTCTTTTTTCCGAGGTCGTCATTTAGGAACGTGGTGGGTAGCCGAAAACGCAATATGTTGACGATTTGTCACCTAGCATAAAATGTTACGCTTTGGGAGTGAGAACATGTTGGTTTATGTTATACTAACCATTGTTGTGTAGTGTAACAGTTGCTATTGTAATGCAGTGTATCACCACATGGCGGCGCCTCCTGTCTCATGACTGGTGTGTCACCCCCTTTTTTGGTTCTTCTTCGCACTCCTCCTGTAATGGATGCTCCCGTGTGTACGCGGACTAGTGTGCTCTTTAGTAATGTGTGGTAGAGGTAGCACTCTTATTTTTTTATTTTTTATTTTTTTAATCTTTATTTATAAAGTTTTGCACATGTAATTTAGCACTCTTATTTTGATATTGTAAATAAATGAGTACTTTTTAGAAAGTCGGAAGCTGTTGCTCATTCGCTATCCATCTGCACACCTCCGCGGCTGGCTTCATCTCCACTGCACGTTACAGTAGCTAGCCACCATGTAGCACATCACTATATACCAGCTAGCCCAACTTCAGTAACCCTACAAACGCCACTGCTGTTTAGTTTCCTGTCTTCATTTATGTTAGAAGTGATAACAGAGCTGTACGTTTTAATTTTTGCTGTGGTGGTTAAGCTGCCAGATTTCTGGCTTCACGACCCTCCTTTGTGGTTCGTGCACGTCGAAGCTCAATTTGCTCTTTGCGGCATTTCAGCCAACGACCAAAATATACCATCATGTGGTGGCCTCGCTCGATCCGCTGTCCACCCGTCGTGTGATGACCGCGGAAAAGGGCTGTGTTTTTGCCATCAGCATTTAGGCCCTGCAGCACGGCGCTGTCTACCGCCTTGCATTTTTAAGGACCAGGGAAACAAGCCCGCCAGTGCTCTGTGGCAGCCGCGACAGCTGGCGATAAGGAAAAGCTCACACTCGGGAGACGCCTCAGGAACTCTCGTGTCATCTTTGCATACCTCCACAATGATATAATTTTTAATCTTAAACAAAATTTTGGGAGATTTCCCACGTACCACTAGAGAGAGCCCAAGTACCAATAGTGGTACACGTACCACTGTTTGAGAACCACTGGCTTAGACTACATTTACCCCCTGTGTGCACACTAGCATTACATAATCCATCTGTGCTCCAGATATTGACTGCTTTTTTTTTTTTTTGCATTCCCCGTCAACATGAACTGACACTGCTTCAATAATGGTGGGGCCCAGACTCTGGAGAGGCCAATCCATCACTGATAGTCCTTTTCCACTAGTACCTACTCAACTCATCTCAGCTCGACTCAACTTTTTCTTTCATTAGGTAGTAGCACCTTGTACTAGGTACCCTTTTAGTACCTCCTTGGCTGGACTTCCAAACGACCTTAGTCAACCCAAAAATGTGATGTGAACAGGCTACATGCCAATGATTGGCCAGTCACAGGACTCTTGGTTGCCTCATTATAACGACCCCATGCACATTAGGTTGTGCTCAGTTGTAATGGAAAACGGCTGAAACTGACTTGAGTAGGCACTAGGGGAAAAAAGGCTGGAGTGTTTCATTGTATGTTTTCCTATCAAGGTATGCTTTAGCAGTGTGTTTGGGATGCCATACTGAAAAATGTAGCTGCTATAAGTCAGACACTTTCCAGATGGTGTACCATTGCATGGTACATAAAAATCTGATGACAATTTTCTGCATTCATAATTCCATCCATTTTGACAAGATCCCCAACATACAGCCATCATCATGTTTTACAGATGCCTGTAGACACTCATTGTTGTACCTCTCTCCTCTACATACTAAGGATGATTTGAACCAAATCATTTTCATTTGGATTCATCACTTCATAAGACCTGTTGCTACTGATTTTCAAACCAGTTTTCATGTAATTTGGCATAGATAACCCTTTTCTTCCCATTTCCTTTTTTTTAAGAATGGCTCCTTCATAGCCACCATTTCTGATTGCCATTTGTGATGAGGTTTCAGCAAACAGTAGGTACATCCTCTGCCAAATATATCCCTCAGGCCCAGTGTTAATTCTTTATTAGATTTTTTTTTCTTGTTCAGCCACCTCTTTTGTTCTTCACTTGATTAGTTTTCCCTCAAATGTTTTAATGACACATGACATACCAGGTTGTGATATGCTACATCTTCAAATACCAGCCCTTTGTAAATCACCTTGTTGGTTCCAAAATACTATTTTATTCCTGGCAAACTTATCTTTTGAATTTTTTGTCAAATCAGTTAAAGAAATGGATACAAATCATGTGTTCATGTAACATAGTAGTAGTTTAAAAAAAATGGCTAAATACACCATTTCAAATTCCTTAGCTGTCTGCTGAAGTTGCTGCTTCATCCCTTGAGTTTTCATTGGTTAAATGATGTGTGTCATATTCACATGTGAGTGTTAGGTCAGCAGTCCCAAACCTTTTTTGTGCCACGGACCGGTTTAATGTCAGAAAATATTTTCACGGAAAGGCCTTTAAGGTGTCGTGGATAAATGCAACAAAATAAAATGATATGACCAAGACAAAAACTGTGGTATTTTGTAAATATAATAATAAATGCGAATTCACTGTGTAATTATTAACAGCGTCCTCCTGAAATGCGCCAACAACATTGAGAGCAGCATCCTCCTCTCTGCCCCTTAATGCTCTCTGGTCGCTATGGTTACACGTAATTATTCCTTTCAAAATAAGACACAACTGCAACACAGGAAAACATCCAAGGAAACCTGAAAAACATCAATTTCACACCCGAGCCTCAACTCCGTGGCCTGGTACCAAACGACTCCGGTCTGTGGCCCGGGGGTTGGGGACCGCTGTGTTAGGTGATTTAATGAAACAAATCGTTTGAGAAAGGCCAGGTACGAGGACTGAGTGGATGAGTGGATGAGTGGAAATGAGTGAAGCAGCCAAGTCCAATGAAAAGCCTGGAGAACTATTTGTACCAGGTGTCATGGCTGAAGGCCAAACCAGATAAACAGATTCAATTGCAGATACAAACAGAGGCACTGGTAAATGTGATTACAAGACTTTATTTACAAACAGAGAAGTACAACTATAACGTGACTATGAAATGTGAACTATGATGCTACGTGAACTATGAGATGTACATGATATTCTAAGAAGTAGAGTAGCAAATATGACCTTTACCACAACACTGAATACTAGGGAACTTTATACACACGAATCCTGTGGTGTGGGGAAAAGGGAAGTCAGGCCGGGGAGTGAAACCAGCAGTCTTTGAGTCACCGTAATGAGAGGAGACAATGTTCAGAAGGTAATCAGGTCAGGTGAGAGCAAACACGGACAAGTTCTATCTTACTTATTGTAGGTGGGCGGTGAGATGGTGAAGGTTACAGCCGGTGATGATCTCCAGTAACTGTGGCAGGGAGGCAGGCAGGCAGGTGAAGTAAGCATGAGCTGTGGCAGAAGAGCTGCCAAGAAAACCAAGGTCCAAATGAAGGTGAGTATTGTCAGAGTTAGAGCGTGGAGATCGGATGGATGACTGCAAGCAGAGAAGCACAAGGTGAGCAGAGAATATTGCTATCAACAGCATCACAGGAACTGTGATGTCCTACACTAACAGAGGTTAGGTGAAGATCTGGCGAAGAGTAGTTGCGAGCCCTGGTCCTGAGTGCTGGCAGCTTAAATGCCAACAGGTTTGGACTGCATGCTTGAATGTGGTGACTCCGCCCAGAGGTTGGACCACCGGCTCTATGGAAAAAACCCTGCACTCACCCGGACCATAACACCAAGGGGCACTCTAAAATATTAGAAAGTCTGGCTTTTTGAAAGTGTGACACACAAATGTGTGATCCCATCAGAAGTAGTACTTGTTAAAAAAAAAAGAGAGATTTGTCACCGAAGTGAACTATGTGTAATGAGGTAGTTGCACCCCCCAGCCTCCGGGTGGCACATTGCTCAGTGAGACAGAATAGCGAGGTCATAGGTCCTCCTCTCCAATATGGCAGAAACGAGGCAAAGAAACTTCACCAGTTGTCTCTACAGTCTCTGTCTCATCATTTCCCTGTTTTGCAGGTTTGTAACCAGTAAAACTATATTAAAACGGTTGTAAAATATTGATAAGAAACACAGCTAAATGTGGGGGTATAAATCATGGTGAACCCTGTTATTTGTTACGTTTTATGAAGTAGAAGGACTGGAAAAATGCCAAAGCCTAGCCAGCCGCGGGTGCCATTTTGGTTTCCTTTCTCCACTTATTTCAGGTCGTTTTAGCTGAATAAGCTCCTTGTTGTGTCCTGATATTGTGAATATGAATGTTAATCTGCTGTTGGTAGTGAAAAACGACTGTTTACTGGTTCTGAAAAGTGATTTTGAGAATGTTAAAGCTAAAGCTAAGCCTGCCAGCATACACATGACTCTTTCATGTATTTGTGAGCTACTAAGCTAAATTGGTTTAAGACCAAGCACTGGTATGTTGGTTAAAACAATCAGAATACATAGGTATTTGGGTTAAAAGTTAAATAGAGGTAAAAATGTATTTGAACATGCATTTCATATTGTTTTGAATTGTCATTCAGAGAGAATAACCGAGTAAATGATTTGAAGGTCACTACACGTGAAGCATTCTTGTTTCCCATGTAAAGATCGTGGTATTGCAGCCTGAACATACAGACTGTTTTATTGTTATTTCTGTTGTATATGGAGAATGGTGATGCTGCAAATTAAAAATACATTTGATTGTATAAATAAATATGGCAGAAGCGAGGCAAAGAGAAACTTCACCAGTCGTCTCCGTCTCATCATTTCCCTGTTTTGCAGGAACATGTAATCTTTTTTACCGGCCCAAACTCTGGGTCGGTTACAAAAGCAACATTAAAAGAAATGAGAGGTGACTAAAGACTTTTGCACGTCATTGTATGAAAAGCTTTTGTGTGTTTGCTAAGGTGGCAGTTTATTAAAAATTGTTCCACTTTATTCATTCAATTTGGGTGTAACACTGTGTCATGCAGTGACTGTGTGCAACAAGAAGGTGGACCCAAATGCAGGACTCCAGAGACAAAATGAAAACTCAAAAAACAGCTTTATTGCTGGAATTCACAAAAAATACAAAACTGGCATGCCACATATGAACAAGGAAGAAACATAATGGAGGAAACGAGACAGAATCAGGGCAGAGGGGACACACCTGGAGAACACAGATGAACATAATCTTATTGATGAGGAGCAGAAAGCA